AACTGGAGTGGTATGAGCGGGAGGAGCACGAGGACCAGGGAAAGGCGCAGAAGCGGAAATGAAGGGGGGACTACAATGAAGCAAGACTCGGATCCAGAAAAGTGGACCGCGCTGAGGCGAGAGCGTTATTCTGAACGATGGGAGCCAAGCACCGATCCGAAAACGAGACCAACGCTGCAGCAGGAGCACCTTTTTGAAACACCGAAAACAATCGGGTAGTAACTAATCTTTATTTATATTTAAGAATATAAAACACATGTTGTTGTTCCAATGTTAAATAAATAACTCAATGAATGACGAGTGGAATCCCGCGTCCAAAAAAACGATACGCGGAGGGAACAGGAGGTCTTCTGGACAACTTCAAGGGAGGAAGGAGAAGAGAAATAATGTTGCTTAGTTGCATACGAGGAGGTGGAGGTAGGGTAGGGGAGCGAACAATGACGACATAAACATGACAACTCTGAGGTCCGCACGTTTTTGTCTCGGATCGGCGCTGGAGAACCCCGGCGGCGCCTCTGGCGCCGCCCCTGGCGCGCTCCGCGCGCCAAGGAGGCGGGGGGTCCAACGCCGATCCGAGAAATCCGCGCGGACCTCCGAGCTTTTCTGTTGATGTCATTGCGTGTCTCCCTGCGTTTATGTTTATGTTTATGGGGACGATGGTGTGGAGGGGGGACGAGCGCGAGCAGGGGTCGGAGGCGTGAGGAGCGAGGAGAAGTTGGCTGAGGCGGATGAGGAGGGCAGGGAGAAGGGAGGAGGAGGAGGAAGAGGAGAAGGAGGAGGAGGAGCAGAAGGGAGGAGGAGGAGGAGGAGGAGGAGGAGGAGGGATACGGAAGTCTGGCTCGGGGCGCCTCGCCCTCGGCCTCGCCGGCGTGGGTGTCGCCGCCCCCGTCGGACTCGGAGTCGGACCCGTCGTCGGGCTCCTGGGCGGAGGCGGGGGCGGGGCACCACCCCGCGGCAGGGCCTCCTCCTCCTCCTCCTCCTTTTCCTTTTCCTCCTCCTCCTCCTCCTCCTCTTTTTCCTCCTCCTGCTCTTCCTCCTTCTCCTCCAGTCCTCCTGCTCACAGACAACTCCTCCCTGTTGCACCCCGAGGCAAGTTTTTAGAGCGGGCGGGGCGTTTCGCCCAAGACTTCCCCACGATTTATAACTCTGAAGGTCTAAAAGTGGCGACCGCCTTAGCGCCGCGCACATTCGTTTTGAACATTTGCAAGAGCTTCATGGATTCAGGGCGGATTATTTTCAATATGTGGCTCTCGCCTTAGCGCCGCGCACACTCGTTTTAGATATTTGCAAGAGCTCCACGGTTTGAGGGCGGGTAGTTTTCAAAATGTGGCTCTCGCATTAGCACCGCGCACACTCGATTTCAAAAAATGCGCAAGAGCTTCACGGATTGAGGGCGGGTCGTTTTCAATATGTGGCTCTCGCCTTAGCGCGGCGCACATTCGTTTTAGACATTTGCAAGAGCTTCACGGATCGAGGGCGGGTGGTTCCCAAAATGTGACTCTCGCCTTAGCGCCGCGCACATTCGTTTTAGACATTTGCAAGAGCTTCACGGATCGAGGGCGGGTGGTTCTCAAAATGTGACTCTACCCTTAGCGCCGCGCACATTCGTTTTAGACATTTGCAAGAGCTTCACGGATCGAGGGCGGGTGGTTCTCAAAATGTGACTCTCGCCTTAGCGCCGCGCACATTCGTTTTGAACATTTGCAAGAGCTTCATGGATTCAGGGCGGATTATTTTCAATTTGTGGCTCTCGCCTTAGCGCCGCGCACACTCGTTTTAAACATTTGCAAGAGCTTCACTGATTGAGGGCAGGTGGTTTTCAATCTGTGGCTCTCGCATTAGCGCCGCGCACACTCGCGTTTTTCACTTTGAAAGAGCGCCACGGATTCCCATGACCAGCGTAACAGAAATTGTTCTTTGGAAGGGTTCAGGATTATGCGGGCGCAACAGTTATGTTGATTCGCTGTGTTGAAGTCCCAAAAACGGCGTTCTGGAACGATTCTGGATCGTCAAGATGGAGCGTTCAGGTTGTTTCGTGGCATTGAAATCCCGAGAACGATGTTTTGGCACTCTTCTGGATCTTCAAACTGCCGTCTTCCAACGAGGCAGTTCCTTCAATGGAAATGAACCGTTGTAGCGGCCTATGAAGAGGGAGCTTAGAGGGTTAACTCCAACATCGTTGATGATTCTTGGGTTTCCACTGGTCCTCCTCCTGGTCCTCCTCCTCCTCCTCCTCCTCCTCCTCCTCCTCCTCCTCCTCCTCCCTCCCCCTCTCCCATCCTCATCCCTCCCCCCTCCTCCTCCTCCTCCTCCTCCTCCTCCTCCTCCTCCTCCTCCTCCTCCTCCTCCTCCTCCTCCTCCTCCGCCTCCTCCCTGTCCTCGTCCTTCTCCTCCTGTTCCTCCTTCGTCGCGTTCATCGTCGCCCATGCGGGCAGACAGAATCCAACGGGAGGGCTGGGCTGGGCGGAACGCCCAGAGCGGGCCGCCGAATCGCGAAGCGAGGCGGACGAAGCCAGTTGGGCGCAGCGACGGCGCTGGTTCCCCGCGGCGCCGGGCCGGCAGCACGGGCAGCCCGCCTCGAGGGTCTGCCCCTTCTCCGGGTCGAGCTCGAGGACCTCTGCGCGCGCGGGGGCCCCAGGGCGCCGCTCGCCTCCGCCCTCGCTGTTTCCCTCCAGCACCCAGCGGCTTGCTCTGTACCACCGGGGCTCCATGCCCCTTCCCCTTCCACCCCTCCTCTCCCTCCTCCCTCCCCCTCCCCCCTCCTCCTCCTCCTCCTCCTTCTCCTCCACCTCCTCCTCCTCCTACTCCTCTTCCTCCTCCTCCTCCTCCTCCTCCTCCTCCTCCTCCTCCTCCTCCTCCTCCTCCTCCTCCTCCTCTTCCTGCTCTGCTGGCCCTGGGGAGGAGGGGGAGGAGGACAAGATCGTCCACGCGCTGGCTCTAACGCCCTCTTTGGCCCCACGGTTGTCCCACAATCGACGTGCAAATACACATGCACATCGAGTGCACACCAGCATGCGCATTATCATGCAAGTCATACACACATGTGAACAAGTAAAGGGCACACAGCTGCAGGCGAAGCTATCAATATCAGTGCGCAACAGAGTTCAAACATGTGTATGCTATTCAAACTATATGGACGGGCATGTCTACATATGTATGCATGACTGGGCGATGATTGCGCGATGTGTAGTGGCGTCTGTTATCTGGAAAGATGTACCTACTGCGCATGAACACACACGTGCATATATAAAATACCTATACGACTACCCTTCGGGTGATAAGGAGGTTCGGGGGGGGAACCAACATCTCACTCGATCGGTCTCACTATCGATCTCAGTATCGATCTCACTATCGGTCTCGCTCGATCGATCTCACTCGATCGATCTCACAATCGATCTCACTCGATCTATCTCATTCGATCGATCTCACAATTGATCTCACAATCAATCTCACAATCGATCACACAATCGATCTCACATTCGGTCTCAATATCGATCTCACTATCGATATCGCAATCGCTCTCACAATCAACGTCATCATCATCATCAACATCGTCAACATCAACATCATCACCAACATCGTCATCATCATGAGAGCACCGTCATCATCATAATCATAAACATCATCATCAACGTCAGCATCATCATCGGGACAACATCATCATCATCATCATCATCATCATCACCATCATCATCATCATCTCATCATCAACATCATCATCATCATCACCATCGGGACACAGTCGTCGTCATCATCATCAGCAGCATCATCAGAATCATCATCATAATCGGGACACCATCATGATCACCATCTTTCTCATCATCAAAATTATCATCAACATCGTCATCATCCTCGGGACACCATCATCATCATGATCATCGCATCATCATCATCACCATCATCATCATCGACATCATCATCATCATCAACAACAACAACATCATCATCATCATCATTGGGGCACCATCATCATCAAGAGCAACATCATCATCAACATCGTCATTATCATTATTATCATCATCGGGACACCATCAGCATCACCATCATCATCACCATCATCATCATCAGCATCATCGGGACACCATAATCATCGTCAACATCATCATCATCAACATCATTACCGCCTGGACACCATTCCCATCAACATCATCATCACCAACATCATCGGAATCATCATCATCATCGGGACACCATCATTATCATCATCATCATCAACATAATCATCATGAGCATCATCATCCTCATCATCGGGACACTATCATCATCATCGACACCATCATCAACATCATCATTGTCATCGGGACACCATCATCATCATCTCATCATCATCATCATCTCATCATCATCATCATCATCATCATCATCATCATCATCATCATCATCATCATCATCATCATCATCATCATCATCATCATCATCATCCTCGCGGGACACCGCGGGACACCAGCGGGACACCGCGGGACACCGCGGGACACCGCGGGACACCGCGGGACACCGGCGGGACACACGGGCCACCGGCCGCCCGGAAGTCATTTGGTCCGGCCGCGCCTCAGCCACACGGGACACCAGCGGGACACCGGCGGGACGCCGCGTGCCACCGGCCGCCCGGCGGAGAATCATTTGGTCCGGCCGCGCCTCAGCCACAGGAGACTTTCCTCTCGCCCGCCCACGCAGCTTCGCCTCGCCCGCACGGCACGCACGAACACGAAACCGAAATCGATTTCCTGGTAGGGGGGCTCTCAGTTCCACTTCGATCTCATCCCCTCACCTCCGATATACATAGGTATGTGAACACAGCATGTTGGTAGCCATTCGCATAGATATGTATGTATACATATGTATAAGCATCATCACATATTCCCCCAATCAGAGCTTGCCTCTGTTGGGGTCCTAGCGGGTGCAATGGTTAGGTGAACTTTGCCACCGATTTCCGCGGCCCGCCCTGGTGCCCGGGTGCCCGGGTGCCCAGGTGCCTGGGTGCAAGGGTGCCTTATAGCCCTATAACCCTATAGCCCTGCATCCCATAGTCCTATAGTCCCATAGCCCAATAGCCCTATAGCCCTATAGCCCCATAGCCCTATAGCCCTATAGCCCTATAGCCCTAGAGCCTTATAGCCCTATAGCCCTAAAGCCTTATAGCCCTATCGCCATGGAGCCCTACAGCCCTATAGCTCTATAGCTCTATAGCCCTATAGCCCCATAGCCCTATAGCCCTATAGCCCTATCGCCATGCCCAGTAGCCCTATAGCCTCATAACTTTATAGTCCGATAGCCCTATGGCCCTATAGTCCTATAGATCTATAGCTCTATAAGCCTATAGCCCTATAGCCATATAGACCATATAGACCTATATCCCTATAGCCCTATAGCCCAATGGTCCTACAGCCCTATAGCCCCGTAGCCCTATTTAGAACGAATGTGCGCGGCGCTAAGGCGAGAGCCACATTTCGAAAACCACCCGCCCTCCATATGTGAAGCTGTTGCCAATGTTTAAGCTTCAGAATCATAAACGGTGAGGAAGTCTCAGGCGAAACGCCTGGCCCACCCTAAAAACTGGCCTCCGGATGCGACAGGGAGAAGTTTCCCCAATCAGAGTTTGACCCTGTAGGGATTCTAGCGGATTCATATGGTTAGGTGAGGTGTGCCGCCGACTTCGGCGGCGGGCCCAGGTGCCCGGGAGCCCAGGTGCCCGGGTGCCCGGGGGTCCGGAGTGCCCGGGGGTTCCCAGAGGCGCCTGGTGGTGCCTGGGTGCCAGGGTGCCTGGGTGTCCGGGTGCCCGGGTGCCCGGTGGTGCCTGGAGGTGCCCGGGGTTGCCTGGAGGTGCCCAGGGGTGGGTGCTCGGGTGCCCAGGTGCTCTATCGCTCTATAACCCAAGAGCCCTATAGCCCTATAGCCCGATAGCCCTATAGCCCTATAGCCCTATCGCCATAGAGCCCTATAGCCCTATAGCTCTATATAGCCCTATAGCCCTATAGCCCCATAGCCTATAGCCCTTATAGCCCTATAGCCCTATAGCCCTGGCTCTATAGCCCTACAGCCCTGTAGCCCTATAGTCCTATAGCCCTATAGCCCTATAGCACTATAGCACTATAGCAGTATAGCCATATAGCCCTATAGCCCTATAACCCTTTAGCCCTATAACCCTACAGCCCTATAGCTCTATCGCCCTATAGCCCAATAGCCCAATAGCCTATAGCCCTTATAGCCCTATAGCCCTATAGCCCTACGGCGCTATAGCCCTGCAGCCCTGTAGCCCTGTAGTCTTATAGCCCAGCCCTATAGCCCTATAGCCATATAGCATTATAGCCATATGGCCCTATAGACCTAGAAAAATCTGATAGGGTTTGTCGAATCAGGGCTTGCCTATGCAGAGTTGGGTGAGGCTTGCCACCGATTGCCGCGGCACGCCCAGGTGCATGGGTGCCTGGGTGCCCCAGTGCCCAGGTGCCTGGGTGCCTTGCAGCCCTATAGCTCTATATAGCCCTATAGCCTTGTAGCCCCATAGACCTATAGCCACATAGCCCAAGAGCCCTATAGCCCTATAGCCATATAGCCCTATAGACTTATAGCCTTATAGCCCTATAGCCCTATCGCCATAGAGCCCTATAGCCCTATAGCTAAATAGCCGTATAGCCTTATAGCCATGTAGCCCTATAGCCTTTGCGCCACAGAGAGCTATACCCCTAAAGTTCTATAGCCCTAGAGTTCCATCGCCCTATAGACTCATAGCCCTATGGCCCTATAGCCCTATAGCCCTATAGCCCTATAGACCTATAGCCCTGTGGCCATATAGTCATATAGCCCAATAGACCTTTAGCCACATAGCCCCATCGCCCTATAGCCCAATAGCCCCATAGCCATATAGCCCTAAAAAGACTTTGATTGGGGCTTTTCTGGGGTATCAGTTTGTTATACGTATACGTATATGTATGTATACATCCGCATGTGTCCGTGTATACTGTAGATTGCACGTGTGCTCGGCACGTGTGCTTCCCTGCATACATGCATACGCACGTACATGCATACATACATGCATACATACATACATACATACATACACACATACATACATGCATGCATGCATGCATACATACATACCGACATACATGCATATATGCATACACACATGCGTACATAGCTGTATACACACATCCATATACATACATGCATACATACACACATACATCCGTGCATGCATACACATACCCATATACATGCATACATACATACATACATACATACCTGCCTACCTACCTACCTACCTACATACATACATACACACATACATGCACGCGTGTATACATACACACATACATACATCCATACATACATACATACATGCATACATACATACATACATACATGCATGCATGCATACATACATAATTACACACATGCATACATACATACATACATACATACAGACAGACAGACAGACATGCATGCATGCATGCATGCATGCATGCATGCATACATACATACATACATACATACATACATACATATATACATACATACATGCATGTATACATACACACATACATACATACATACATGCATATATACATACATACATGCATGCATACATATATATATATATATATCTACAAGCATACATACGTACACACATGTAGATGTGAATATACGATGATACATATGCGTTACACACCACCACCCTGTGTGTACATGTATGTGTGACTGTATTTTCACATGAAGCACGTATACGATATGTGTTGAGAGATGTGTTGATGTACAGACGGTTGTATATAGAGAGAGATGCAGATAGTTATGTGAGGATCCCAGCTGAGAGTTGTACAGATACTCGCGGGTTGCATTGTGCGTCCAATGCAAGTCTAAGATACTGCCAGCCTCCAAGCCTCCTTCTCGCCCCTAGAGCAGTCTTATACTCGCCATCGCTCGGACGTCCATTGCCTGTGCATTATCGCTTTCGTGTGGCTCTTTTTCCGCAAGATGATCCAAGATGCTCATCGACGGCCCTGGCCGAGAAAAATAAACACGTCCGAGCGATGCCAACTATAGGTATCGAGTAGGGCGTGCCTCCTTCCTCCGCCCTCATCCTGCGCTCCTCATCCTGTTCTCCTCTTCGTCCTCCTCCCTCCCTCCCCAATCCTCGTCGTCATCCCTCCCCGCCCCATCCTCTTCCTCTTTCTCCACCCGCACATCCTACTCCTCCTCCAAATACGTATCCTCCGACTTTCCTTTCTACCACTCCCGCCTATCTCCCCAATCGCATCCCTCCTCATCCTTCTCCACCTCCTCCTCCGCCCCCTCCGCCTCATCCTCTTCCTTCCCCAGCTACTTCTCCTCTTCCCCTCCTTTCCCCTCCAGCTCCTCAACGATCCCGACCTTCGCCAAAAGAAGGGCCGACGCCGAGGACCCCGGCACATCGACTACGACGACAGTGAGGAAGACGAGGACGACGTGGACGACGACGAACGACGGCGACGACGAGGCCGAAGTTGACGACGACGACGACGACGACGACGACGACGACGACGACAACAGCAACGAAAACGACGACCCTGACGATGATAACGATGACGACCGACGTCGATCGCCGCCCCCACAGAGGCAGCGTGCTCCGAAGGCAAGGCTACAAAAGGAGCCCGACCATCCACGGGCCCCCGAAGGCCTGCAAAAGGCCTCGAAGCCCTCGAACAAGCACTCTTGGCGGTGCGCACAACTGGGTGGAGGGAGGGGGGAGGGCTTCTTCGAAGGAGGCTGCTTCCTACAAGGCGCCGGCCTTACATATATAGACAAGGCTCGAGCCTTCTAAGAAGCAGGGGGTGCTTCCAAGAAGCCCTCCCCCCTCCCCACACCCCCCTCTGCGCGTGGCTGACATTCGGCGACCGAGGTCGACGACGAACACGAGGACGACGAAAACGACCGACAAGTCCAAAGACGACAACGGCGAGAACGACGACGACGACGACGACGACGACGACGACGACGACGACGACGACGGACGACGGACGACGGAGGACGGACGGACGAACAACGAAGACGACGACGACACACGCCGCTCGCCGCCTCTTGAGGCCTCCAGAGGTCTTGCGGAGGCCCCCGAAAGGCGCCCAGAGGGCCCCCAGCGGAGGCCCTCGAGAAGGCTCGAACCCCTCGAAGACCTCCGACGACGACGACGGACGATCGACCGACTGACCGTTGATCGACCCACCGACGACCGACGACGACCGACGACGACGACCGACGACGACCGACGACGACCGACGACGACCGACGACGACCGACCGACCGACCGACGATCGGCCGACGACACACCGACCGACCGACGACCGACCGAACGATGACGACCGAACGATCGACGACGACGGAAACGTCGACACCGACGACGGCAAGGACAACGCTGCAGACAACATCGACGCAAAGCTGCTCCGATACGCAGCACGCAACCCGTAGCTCATTGACACGGAGTTCAACACGTAGACTGAAAACGTGGGTCCGGCGCGACACGTTCGCAAAAACGTGGGCCAACACGTCGAGCCAACACGCAGCGTGTTAACACGGACGTTTTGAATACAGGGCGTGTTGCGTCCCAAAACGAACGTACCGGGGCAGCTGCGCTAAAGGCCTCGTAGATGGGGTCGGAGGATCGCGACGCATCACCGATGCAGCGGCGACACACACACACACACACCAGCGATGCATCGGCAGTGCATCGGCAGTGCATCGGCGACGTCGACGATGCATCGGCGCCGTCGGCATGGAGAAAGTCGGGCCCCACATCGAGCCGCATCAGCAATGCATGAGCGATGCGGCGCGATCCTCCGACCCCATCTACTCGGACCCCATCCGGGAGGCCTGCGGCGAGCCTGGGGGGGGAAGTGAGAATGGGCGGGTCTTCTCAGAAGGCTCGAAAATTCTCGGGCCTTCTGCGAAGGTTTCCTGAGCCTTTCCCGAGGACACAGACAACTTCTCAAAAGGCCAGAGGGCTTCTGAGAAGCACCGCCGCCTTCTGAGAAGGCCTTCTCCTTCTCGGACGCCTGGTGGGTTTCGGGTCATAACTCGGCTCTCCAGCGGCCGTTCGGGACAATCTGGGCACCCCCGGAACGCCCTCGGCGAGGCGCAACCGCCGGAACGCACCCCGAGGCTGGACAACCGCCGAGAACCGATGATGACGCCGGAAGACCTCGAACCTCGAGCCTGAAACTTCCACCTTCTCACTTCCCCCCCCCTCGCTCGCCGCCGAATCAGGGCAGCTGCGCGACGACGACCGACCAACCGGACGGCCGACCGCGGCCGCGCCGACGCGGGCGGCCTGCGCAGGCAGGGGCGCCGGGGGCGGCGGGGCGCCGCCCGGCGCGGGCTCGGCGTCGCCGAGGGCCTCCAGGCTGGTGGCCCCGCTGACCTCGGGCGGGGGAGGAGGGGGGCAACCAGGCTCGCAGGAGGAAGAGGTTCGGGGTGTCGGGGCTCGGGGTCCGAGGTGTGCGGACGCTTTCGCAGGTCCTCCTCGGGGCTCCTCCTCCTCCTCCTCCTCCTCCTCCTCCTCCTCCTCCTCCTCCTCCTCCTCCTCCTCCTCCATCTTGTGACCCCCAAAGGGCCGCCCGTGGAAGCCCCCGAACATCGATCCTCCGGGCGGTGGTCCCGCAGAAGCCCCCCCGCCCCGAGGAGGGCGGCCAAGCTCCTCTCGGGCAGCGGCCGCAGGAGGACCCGCAGACGGCGGTCGGGCAGCGGCGGGGCGCCCTGGGGCCCCAGCAGGCCACAGCGGCGCGCGGGCGTCTCCGCCAGTCTTCGGCGGCTTTTCCCGCCGCGGGGTGCCTTCCCGGCGCCTGCGCCGCGCCGAGGGCGTGGGATCGCCGCGAGCACGGCTGCCGGAGGGCCGAGCTAGGAGCCGACAGCCAACGTTGGGGGCAGGCTCACGAGAAGAGAGGATACCCACACCACCACCCGTCCCTCGTTTGCGCACGTTGGGTCTCCTGGGAGGCCCTCGTCGCCACCGCTAGATGCGTCTCGAAATCCTGGTCAGAGCGCGTCCCGGGAGAGGTCCGAGGAGTGGCGGTATCGGTACCTTTTGGTTTCCCCACGCGCAGGAGAACGCAAATGAAAGCTCGGGTTTGGGGGGATCGGGCTGGCCTGGCGGGGCCGTCATGAAAATAACGAGACCCAATCTGAGTTTTGACGCGAGCTCCCGCCGCAAACACCCCGCGAGAACCGGGGGCCGTCACATCCGGGGCGGGCGCACCAAAGAGCGCAGGCACACCCGAGCTCTGGCGAACTCGAGTCGTGCGTAGGTTTCCCGAGCAGAGCGATGACAACGTGAGTCGAACACCGTGCAGACAGTCCATAAGATCGACGCGTGCAGCAGGAGCTGCCTCGGGAAGCAGGGCGGCGGCCCCCTCGGCGTTCCTGGACCGGCTCGAGGGGGGCCTGAAGCGTGGGGGTTCACCTCCCTGGGAAGGAGGAGAGCGGTGAGGAGAGAGGGAGGGGGGAGGGAGGGATGAGGGGGCAAGGAGGGAGGAGGGAGGAGGGAGCAGGGAGCAGGGAGGGAAGGGGGAAAAACTCAGCTCCAGACTGGATGGGTATGGCGGGCTGTTGACCCTCAGAGGGTTTCAGAAGGAACGGCTCTCTTTCCAACTCCGCTCCTCCGACATCCCCCTCTTACCCAATCCCCGTACTCCTATCCTCTTTCCTCGTCCTCTCCCTTTTCCCAATCCATCCTTCACCTGGGGGCTGCAAAACCAAAAGAACACAAGAACCCCCCCACCCCCGAAAAAAAAACACGGCTGACCCCCCAAAAACAAGAAACACCTACTCTAGGGGTGGTTGGTGGGTGGTGGGGGGTGGACAACGTATCATGGTTTCCAAGTTATCCTGTGGTGTTGTGTCCTCGTTTTGAAGAGACAGCGCCCCGCGTTCCTTCCTTCCTTCCTCCTCTCCTCCTCCTCCCCCTCCTCCCTCCTCCGCATCTGCCCTCCGCGTGTTTCTGTTTCGAAACAACCCTCACACGCTTCGGGGCCCCATAGGGAGCTCCAACGAAGGCCACAGTGGCAAAGTTCGCATGGCGGCCCCACCTCACTTCGGCGCACCCCTCACACGCTTCGTGGCCCCATGGGGGGCTCTGCAGAAGGCCACAATGGCAAAGTTCGCATGGCGGCCACGCCCGATTGCGGCGCACCCGTCATACGCTTCGTGGCCCCATACTGAGCTCCACCGAAGGTCCCAATGGCAAAGTTCGCATGGCGGCCCCGCCCCGTTTCGGCGCACCCCGCACGCGCTCCGTGGCCCGATAGGGAGCTGCACCGAAGGCCCCAGTGGCAAAGTTCGCATGGCGGCCTCACCCCATGTCGGCGCACCCCTCACACGCTTCGTGGGCCGATAGGGAGCTGCACCGAAGGCCCCAGTGGCAAAGTTCGCATGGCGGCCCTGCCCAACACACGCTTCGTAGCACAGTAGGGGGCTCCACCGAAGGCCATGGCGGCCCCGCCCCATGCCGGCGCACCCGTCACACGCTTCGTGGCCCCATAGGGAGCTCCAACGAAGGCCCCAATGGCAAAGTTCGCATGGCGGCCCCACCCCATGCAGGCGCACCCCTCACACGTTCCGTGGCCCCATCAGGAGCCCCACCGAAGGCCCCAATGACAGGGTTCGCATGGCGGCCCTGCCCCATTTCGGCGCACCCCTCGCACATCTCGTGGCCCAACAGGGAGCTCCGCCGAAGGCCCCAATGGAGTTCGCATGGCGGCCCCGCCCCATTTGGGCGCACCCCTCACACGCTTCGTAGCCAGCTCCACCGAAGGCCCCAATGGCAAAGTTCGCATGACGGCCCTGCGCCACTTCGAGGCACCCCTCACACGTTTCGTGGCCCCATGGGGGGCTCTGCCGAAGGCCCCAGTGGCAAAGCTCGCATGGCGGCCCCGCCCGATTGCGGCGCACCCCTCATACGTTTCGTGGCACAATAAAGAGCTCCACCGAAGGCCATGGCGGCCCCGCCCCATGCCGGCGCACCCGTCACACGTTTCGTGGCCCCATAGGGAGCTCCAACGGAGGGCCCCAGTGGCAAAGTCCGCATGGCGGCCCCACCCCATGTCGGCGCAACCCTCACACGTTTCGTGGCCCCATGGGGAGCTCCACCGAAGGCCCCAGGGGTAAAGTTCGCATGGCGGCCCCGCCCGATTGCGGCGCACCCCTCATACGTTTCGTGGCCCAATGGAGAGCCCCACCCAAGGCCCCAATGGCAAAGTTCGAATGCCGGCCCCGCCCCATTTCGGCGCACTCCTCATACGTTTCGTGGCCGCATGGGGAGCTCCACCGAAGGCCCCAATGGCAAAGTTCGCATGGCGGCCCCGCCCCACCTCGGCGCAGCCCTCACACGCTTCGTGGCCCCATGGGGAGCTCCACCGAAGGCCCCAGTGGCAAAGTTCGCATGGCGGCACCGCACCCATGTCTGCGCCACTCACACGCTTCGTGGCCCCACAGGGAGCTCCACCGAAGGCCCCAGTGGCAAGGTTCGCATGGCGCCACCGCACCCATGTCGGCACACCCCTCGCGCGTTTCGTGGCCCCAAAGGAAGCTACACCGAAGGCGGGGAACACAACTGCGGTACGCACAATCACATATGTTTGGGTCCTTCGCCAAGAAGTTTCTCTTGGAGGGGAGTGTGTTTTCTTGTGTGTTTTGTTAGTTTGTCAGCCGTCGGTCTTTGATTTGTTTGGTTTGTTTGGTGTTCCTTGCGTGGTTTTGGTTTTCGCCTTTGGGACCCCCCGCTCGACAAGGATGGAGGGGGATCAGTAGGAAGGAAAAGGGGGAGCGAGCGGCGAAAAGGATTTCGATTTGGTATGCTGGCTGCCCCAGAGAGAATCCTTCTGCATTCCGCCACAAGGAGAATCCTGTTGTATTCGGCCACAAAAAGATTCCACTCGCATTCCGCCACATGAGGAATAATGGCAATCAACAACAAAAGGGTTCCTCTTGCATCCCGCCACAGAAAGCATCCCTTCGTATTCCGCAACAAAAGGAATCCTTCTGCATTCTGCCACACATGGAATCCTCTTGTGTTCCGCCACAAGAGGAACGCGGTTATACTCGGCCACAACAAGAAACCTCTTCTACTCGGCCACAAAAGGATTCCGTATGTATTCCGGCACATCAGAAACCCCTTGGCCTTAACCACAGAAGAACTCCTCTTGCACATTGCCAAAAAGAAACTCCTCAGCAATTCACCGCGAACGGAATCATTTTAGTATTCCGCCACCCAAAAAATGCTGTGACATTCTGACGCGAAGTGAACCCTTGTGTATGCCGCCACAAAAGGGACCCCTTGTGTATTCGGCCACCACATGGAGTCCTTTTGCACTCCGCCACATAAGGAATCCATTGGTAATCAACAACACAAGGACTATGTTGTATTCTGCCACAAACAGAACCCCTAAGTAACCCACCACAAGGAGAATACCTTTGCATTCCGCCACAACGGGCAACCCTCTTGTATCCGGCCACAAAAGGATTCCCTTTGGATTCCGCCACATACAGAATCCCTGGATGATCATTCACACAAAGATTTCTCCATTTATATTCTGTCACAAAGGGAATCCTTCTGCATTCCGGGAAACCGTTTGCATCCCGCTGCGAAGGAACCCTTTTGCATTCCGAACTCGGCATTCCGCCTTCAAAGGAACTGGCGCATTACGAAAGTATTCCCTGCGTGGGGAACGCAGAAGGGTAGATCTGAGTGTATTCGATCGAATACACACAGATGTCCTGCGTGGCGAATTACAAAAATATCGTTCGCTGCTTCGTAAAAACTCAGGCCGCCCAGACCTGCATCGTGCCTGGCGCTCCTCCTCCTCCTCCTCGCCAACCCTCCCCCATTCCCTTCCTCGTCGTCGTCGCCGTCCTTATCCTGCTCCTGCTCCTGCCCTGTGCCTGCTCCTCCTGCTGCTCCTCCTCCTCCTCCTCCTCCTGCTGCTCCTCCTCCTCCTTCTCCTCGTTCTCCTCCTCCTCCTCCTCCTCCTCCTCCTCCTTTCCTCCTCTTCTTCCTCCTCCTCCTCCTCTCCCCTCCTCCGCCTCATCCTCACCGTCCGCCTCCTCCTCCTCCTCCTCTTTCTCCGCCTCCTCCACCTGTATCCTCCTCCTCCCCCTCATCCTCATTATGTTCTCTAATATCTCCTTCACTCTCCCCCTGCATCTATTTTGTCCTCCTCCCTTCTCTCGTCAGTATCATCCTCCTCCTTCGCATCCTCCTTCTCCTCTCTCCCTCTCGATCTCTCTCGTTGTAGCTTCTTGCTGTGCTCTCTCTCTCTCTCTCTCGCTCTCTCTCTCTCTCTCTCTTTCTCTGCATTACATATATATATATAGGCATTATCTTTCTTTGCAACTGCACAATATCAATACGACGTCCCCCTCTCTCCTGACCTTGTCCAGAAGATTGGCCGCCCTCTTCGCACACTGTTGTTACAAACAGAATTGGGCAAAGGTGATGTCTTATGTGTGTTGATAAGTCCGGTTACTAAAAGGGGTTCAAGAAGGTGTTCCCGCTGCTGCGTGGGCCTCATGTTCGGATCGGCGCTCCCATCGTTAAGAATGGCATGTTCGCCCCAGTGCGGGCCATGTTTCTGCATCCGAGTTGTCCCTCCTCCGCCTTCCCCTGGTCCTCTTGCTCCTACCGCTCGTTCCACTCCAGTTCCTGCTGCTGCTGTTCGTCCTCGTCCTCACCCATCATCTTAATCCTTATCCTCCTGCTCATCCACCTGCTCACCCGCAACCTCTGTCTCCTCCTCCTCCTCCTCCTCCTCCTCCTCCTCCGCATCCTCCTCCTCCTCCTACTCCTCCTCTCACTCCTCCTCCTCAGTCTCTTATATGCGCAGTCCTCCCTTTTCCGATTGCGCATAACACGTTCGTTTGTTGGTTCCAGGTCGGCTATGACACGCGCCTGCGGATGGAGAAACATCAGCGCGCCAGGCAGGGATGGGAGCGAGGGATATTATGTCAGAAGTGGCGCGAGCGCACCTAGCGTATCTTCTCCACCCTCTTCTCCGTTTCCTTCTTTCTCCTCCTCCCTCCTCCTCCTCCTCCTCCCTCCTCCTCCTCCCTCCTCCCTCCTCCTCCGCCTCCTCCTCCTTCTCCTCCTCCCCCTCCTTTTCCTTCTCCTCATCCCTGCCCCTATCTCCTCATCCCTCCTCCTCCTCCTCGCACGAAAGCGGGTGGCCAGGTCAGAACGGCTGGGGCCTCCGTCAGGGTGACGGAGCCGCCCTTCAGGTAAACGCGCAGGGAGTACAGGGCGCCGCTGCCCGCGACGGACATCGCGTAGATGCGCCTGGAGGAGGAAGGCAGACGGAGGGGAGGGCGGGAGGGTCCCGCCCCTCCCATGCTGCCTCCCTCCCTCCCTCCCCTCTGCCTGGAGAAGGCTGCGAGGCGGAGGGGGTGAGGAGGAGGAGGAGGAGGAGGAGGAGGATTAGATGCTAGACAGGAGAGGAGGAGGAGGAGGAGGAGGAGGAGGAGGAGGAGGAGGAGGAGGAGGAGGAGGAGGAGGAGGAGGGAGAGGAGGAGGAGGAGGAGGAGGAGGAGGAGGAGGAGGAGGAGGAGGGGGAGGAGACGAAGGAGGAGAAAGGGCGAGGAGGAGGAGGAGGAGGAGGGAGAGACACAAGCGTAAGTACAACGACGCTGCATTACATCTTCCCGCCGCAAGTCCCTGCAAGTAATCTGCTTCACTGCGCGAAGCGCCACTTCGAGAGACGAGCACCTTTTGGGCCATCAATCCAGGGAGGAGCTTCGTTTTGGAAGAGGCTGGCCTCTCTTCTTCGAGCCAGAAGCAATGCGAAAAGGTGGGGGTCTAGGAAATGCCCAGCGGCAGCCCAGTTTTGAAACAGAACTGCCATCGATCCGCGCCACTGTTACACCAGAAGAGACCTCTGGCCATACTGTCAAGCGAAGGCTGCAACGGAAGCCCTGCTTTTAGAAGAATTCGCCTTCCACTGCGCAAATGTTTGCACACAGCCAGGCCTCTGGCCATAAAATCAAACGAAGCCTTCAACGACACCGCAGTTTTAGAAAGGAACTGCCCTACATCTGTGTAGCCGTTACAGAAAGTTGTAGTTGTGGTGCTATGAGTCTGCGGCAGTCTCAAACGAGAGCCTCGTGTCGAAAAAGAACCGCCCGTATTCCGTGTAGCTGTCGCAACATTTGAAGGCGAGTGCGCACGGCACAAAGGCGAGAGCCCGAGTTTGAAAACGGCCTGTCTTCTCTCCGTGTAGCTGCACAAGACATGTTCAACACGAGTGCGCGCGGCGAGAAGGCGAAATTCCCATTTGAACGCGCCCCGCCACCGGGTGGGACCAGGGGGAGGAGGGGAAGCGCGCAGGCGAGGGGGGAAAGCGGAGGGATAGGCAGGGGCTGGAGGGACGCGAGGGAAAGGGGAGCGGAGGTATGGGCACGAAATGGACTGCGTAACCAATGCCTCCAGCGTGCCCTCCTTGTGTCTCAACTCTTCAGTGCGCTGAGTTTGAAGCGGCGACTCTGTGTGCTCGTTTACTGTTCGTTTGCTGCACCATTCGATATTGATTCGGCTTGCCTGTGTGAGGAGGATGGGAAGCAGCAGCAAGCGGGGTCGTCAGTGCAGCTCGACTCTGTTCAGAAAGCTCACCTACTTCAGACCTTCTGCTAGGGCACTGAAGTTCCTCTTGGCTTGGATACCTTACAATATCCAAGGGATGCACAAGGTCCAGGACCAGCTTGATCCTTGCAAAGAACCCAGCCTGGGCTTGCCTGGGCGCCGGATGCATTTGGGATGGTCTACAAGTCAAGAGGACGAGCTCAAGATAAGAAATGATGCTCATTTCAACAAACGGGAGACAATGAGGTGCATGAAGCAGCTTGCCAATCGAATCGCGGATGCAGCATGTGCAAGATTGTTGAAACAGATGGCATTTCGTGCTGGCAATCAGAATATGACAGCACACCCTCCGCAGCCCGAAAGGGCAGCCCACTCCGACAACAAAACAAATTTAAACAGCACAGGGAAAAGTCTTCGACGACCGAAGTTTGGTGGTGTCATAGCACCGGTGACACAGACAGACTCGGGTGCACTTCCACAGCCGCGTGAGATAGCGCGACCAAACCTCAACGATCGCCGATATCCTGTCGCGAATCCAGGCCAAGCGAAATGCGAAACATGCGGACTGCAGTACGGCCGCTGTGACATCCAGAGCTGCAGCGAGAGAGGCAGTCAGAGAGGAAGAAAATCGAGAGAAGAGAAGGGGAGGAGGCTTGGGCGAGGAGCAAAGATCATCACGAAGAAGTTCTCCCCGATGTGATTGCATTCATCTGCACCGCTGGCATCTGCAGAGTCACCCGAACATCGCCGACGCGACCCGCATTGTGGCATTGCGCAAGCGATGCGACTGAAGGGCCACGGTCAGAAGGAAAACTAGTGGGGCTCAGAATCGAGGCCACTGGCTGGCAGGCCACCACCACGCCCACGATCCGCTGACCCCTGTGGCGCGTGCGATTCAACAGTGCCCCTGTTGACGACATCCACCACGACCACCCGCCCTTGCAAGACACAGTGTTACTCCGGCATGACTCACCCAAAAAAACTCTCGCCCAGAACCGACCCAGACACCCCACTTGGCCACCACCTCGCCCCGGCACACCCCGCCCCCTGGATCGTGTTCTTGGGACCCCCACCCAACAATTTCTCGCACGGAAGCGACCCTGAACCCCCACCTGGCCGCCACCTCGAGCCCCGGCATACCCCACCCTCTGGAACTTGTCCATGGAGAACCCCACTCGACAATTTCTCGCTCGGAACCGACCCTGACCCCCCACCTGGCCACCACCTCGCCCTGGCACACCCCACCCTCTTGATCCTGCTCTTGGGACCCCCCGAACTGACAATTTCTCGTCCAGCAACATACCTGCATCCTCTGGACCTTACCCCACCCCGACCCCAGCACGCCCCACCAACTGGATCCTGTTCTTGGGACTCCCACGCGACACACAATTCTTCGCCCGAAAGCGACCTTGACCCCCCACCGGGCCACCACCTCACCCCGGCACACCCCACCCTCTGGATCCTGTTCGAACTTGGGACCCCCCACCTGACAATTTCTCGCTCGGAATCGACCCCACCACCTCGAGCCGGCACACCCCACCCTCTGGATTATTCTTTTTGGGACCCCCCACCCGAAAGTTTCTCGCCAAGAAACCGACCCTGACCCCCCACCTGCCCACCACCTCGAGCCCCGGCACACCCCACCTGCTGGATCCTGTTCTCGGGACCCCCCACCCGACAACAATTTCTTGCCTGGGAGCGAACCTGACCCCCACGTGGCCACCACCTCGCCCCAGCACCGCCCCACATCCTGGGGGCTCTGTTCTTGAGACCCCCACCACGCCCCAGCATTCCCCCACGTGCCGGAAGCTCCGTTCTTGGGTGCCCCCACCTGCGATTTCTCGCCCGGAACCTACCTGCGCCCCACCACGCCCCGGCATGCACCCATATCCCAGGGGTTCTGCTCTTGAGACCCCTCAATTTACCGGAAGCCCAGTCGATCCCTTGGGACCACCCACCCTACAATTTCTGGCCCGAAACCGGGCCTACGCCCCCCACCACGCCCCAGCATCCCCCCATCTCCCCGGAGCTGCGGGCTCTCTGGGGGGACCTGCTGGGGCCTCTTGCGGGCGCCTCGGGGGCTCCTGGGGGATCGACTGGCCTTGGAATATCCGGGGGTCTGTCGGGGCCTCTTGGTAGACCCTGTGGAGCGGGTCCCGAGGCAGACTTGAGCCGTCTGCGACCCCTGGAGGCCGTCTTGGGGGTGATTCGGGGCCGCCATGGGCCTCCTGGACGGCTGTCTGATGGCTCTGTGGGGCGATTGTAGGCCCCGACATGCGGACCCAGCCCCCCGGCACACGCACATTTGCGATCCAGGTTCCAGCCTGGGCCCCGCCCACCCTGCCCAGTCCCCCGTTACTTGTAATGATCGCAGGTGAGCGAGTCGAGTGGGCACTCGAACAGGAAGGCCAAAACCGGAAGGGGAAGCCACTCACATGAGAATCCTTTTATGGGGTCGGCGGCAGAGGCGGCAGCCTTGAACAATAGAGCTACACTAGAGCGAACATAATCAAACAAACGTGCACCACTGCCGCAGGGACGCCTCGGCGAACACAGCTGGCACGAAGGTGAACCGCATTAACTCGGAAGCCGGTCAAGGGCTGCTAAATCCGTGGCTGCTAAAATCGACCTCCGGGAAGTTGTCTTCGCCCTTCCGGGAATAAGCCCGTTGCCTGCTTCGCGTGCCGCGCCTCGTTCCGGGAAGTTGTTGTTTCCTTCCGGGAGGGCCGTTTTAGCAGCCACGGTTTTCGCAGCCCTCGCCCAGCTTCCGATGAACAGCGTCGACCCCCAGAGGTCTGGACCCCTTCCGCAGGGACCGGCTTTTCCTCCTGGGTCGTTTCGTGGAGGGCCCCGAGGCCCGGTGAGGGCCCCTGGAGGCCGAAAGTAGCGTGAAGTCGGGCGTGTCCCCCTACAGGGGGATTCTCGACGACAAATAAAAAATAGTTAAAAAATATTCCCACATGGTCAGAACATAGTCCCCAGACTATCTTTAGACTATTTTCAATACTCCTCCTGCAGAGGGACAGGCCCGATTTGAAAATAGCGAAAAGCCTCCCGCCGTGATGTTTCCACAACGCGAGAGGGTCTGGGGAGGCCACCGCGCCGCGGCTGAGGCGCCGCGTGCTGCAGCGCTTCGCCCGCCCTACAGGGGGATCCCCCCTACAGCTGGCACGAAGGTGAACCGCATTAACAACACGCGCACGGAGCGCCCCGCCGCTCATGGGAAAGTCTGCTCCCGCAGGGGGCCGTGCAGGTACGTCGGGGCCGGCACCGAGCTCGACAGCTGCATCGGCGGCCTGGCGGCAGTCTCGCCCTCCACCGCTCCTCCTGCCCCCCCTCCTGAAGTGAAGTCGGGCCTGTCCCCGTACAGGGGGATTTTCGACGAGAGAAAAAAAAATAACCCCCAAAATACACCACAAAGAACAAAAAACACTCAAAAAATAGTCACCAGACTATTTTTGGACTATGTGTTGATTATTTGTGGTGTATGTTGTATTCTTCGTCGAAAATCCCCCTGTAGGGGGATAGGCCCGACTTAATCCTAAAGCCTTCCCCACCCCCTCCCGCCACAGAAGAGAAGTGGGAACCTGGTGGCGCTGACGTGCGTCTCAGCGCCCAGGCCCGCACCGCACACCAGGGCCGACCCAGCCCGCGACAGGCTCTGCTGCAGGAGGAGGTGCTGCTGCTGCGCCGCGGCCGCGGCCTGGAAGGCGGCCTGCTCGAGCGGCTCGGGGCCGTAGACGAGAGCCGAGGAACCAGCCCGCGACATGGTCTGCTGCAAGGGATCGGAAGACACCACCACGCCCTCGCCGCCAGCGAGCCTCACGCCGGTGCACGGCGATGCGTACCCAGGGTGGCCCACGGTGACGCCTCCGGGCCGCGCGCCGACGGAGAGGCTCGCGCCGACAGTGTCGCCGACCGAGCGGCGCGGTGGCGGGCTGACCACGAAGCGCATCGGCGATGCCGTGCGCGCGTCGTGGGCCACGCTGGCCCACTCCGGCTCCTGCCCGACGGCGACCGACCGCCTGGAGTAGGCGTTCACGTGCGACTGGCCAGGGGGGGCCGCCAGGCTCCTCTTGGCACGAGGGCGACGGGTCCTGAGGGAAACGGGCCCTGGATCCCAGGGGCCTTCCCGCGGAAACCAGCTTTTCATGCTGGGTCGTTTCTTGACGGCCCCGGCGCCCGGGGAGGGCCCCGGGAGCCCGAAAATGGCAGAAGCCACCAGGACCCGGCTCCCTCAGGACCCGCTTGCTTCGTGGCGATCCTTCTCTCCGCGCTGCCCTCCCTGCTGATGACCCAGACCCCCGGCGTCGTGATTCATGTCACAGCGTCGACCCCCAGAGGTCTGGACCCCTTCCCCAGGGACCGGCGTTTCCTCCTGGGTCGTTTTGTTGACGGCCCCGAGGCCCGGTGAGGGCCCCTGGAGTCGGGCGTGTCCCCCTACAGGGGGATTCTCGACGACAAATAAAAAATAGTTAAAAGATATTCCCACATGGTCAAAACATAGTCCCCAGACTATCTTTAGACTATTTTCAATACTCCTCCTGCAGAGGGACAGGCCCGATTTAAAAACAGCGAAAAGCCTCCCGCCGTGATGTTTCCACAACGCGAGAGGGTCTGGGGAGGCCACCGCGCCGCGGCTGAGGCGCCGCGTGCTGCAGCGCTTCGCCCGCCCTTGGCCCCGCAGCGCACGGCGCCGGGGACGCCCAGCGCAGCGCCTCGTGCATCGGCACGTCGCCGACCTGCGGGGGCCCTGACATGCGCAAAAATCAAGACGGCAAGTGTTTGGCCAGTTTCGGCCTTCGGTGGCCCTCGCTGGGCCCCATGACCGTCAAAAAACGACTCGGGATGAAAAGCAAGTCTCAGGGAAAGGGTCGGGACTTCTGGGGACCGCGTCTTGAAAAAATCCGCCG